CAACAATTGAATAAGAGTAATCCTACATTTACATCAATCGTAATGTTAAAGAAATAATTTGTTTTTTTTTTGTCATTTAAATTATCATATTAAGACTTTGAAGCAATTTTAATATGTAAATAATGGTTCTATATATTTTACTTGCAGAATTCTATATCTATTCTACATGACCATATTACCAATTGATATTCTTGCATTTGAAACAGATGATTATCAGGTACCAGTACATAATTTGACGCATTGGCGGGAGCATCGGCGCAAAAAGAGATATCTTATATTTACACATTCGGGAACGGCAAAGGTAGGTTGTTATTAAGTTCTTCGTTAAAAAAATAATAATAAAATTAGATATGTATCCTTTAATAATTAATGTGTTTACGTTCACTTTATGCCGACGGAGTTGATTTCTTTTATTAACTATCCATAAGCTATGTAAACGGTCCATAATTTTTATATTAGCTATAACTTTTTTAGTGTAAATTGTATAGTCCAAAATTAAATTCACTCATTACCTCGATTTGCTCGAAATTCTGTGCAATGCTCGAAATAATATCAAATACAACACTGTTTTTGTAACAAAAAAAGCATCACATTTTCCGAAAAGTACAAATATGGCAACGCGTTATGTGTGAAATTTGTACTTTGATATAATAGTTGCCAACTACATAGAATTAGGGATGTATATGTATACATAAACAAATATCAGCTGATTGACTTAATATCATTTTAATAGAATTCTAGCAGCTAAGATTTATTACCTCGGTTTAGAAGTCGAGTCAATTTAGAAGGCTTAGAATATGTGTTTCTAGTCTTACAAAATATAATAGATTTAGAAGTCATTGCCAAAAACCCTCTTTTAAATTTTTATTAAATATAGGGTTCTATGGTTTATTATTGTCATATTAAAAACTTAAACGGCATTTACATTAGAGCTGTTTTATGAGGATTTATTTAACATATTTACAATGGAATTGTCGATTATACCCACTGGCTTAACGTATAATAGTCGGCCGTGGCGTCAATTGGTTATGTTGTATAATTTCCATTATCAATATGGGCTGCCACCAAAACCCATCTATTGGTGGGATAAATGGGATAAACGTAATTTAAATGGTAATCTGGGACCCTTGACATATTCAGAAGATGAATTTCAAACAGATGAGGCACAACTGTTTCTCTATACATTTGCTGAGAATCTTATGCATCGACATGGTGGAAATGGTCGAGAGTGTCTGCTGAAGGCAATATGTGAAAATGCCCAAATCGATGTACATCAGGGATTGTATGCCGAACTGTTGTATCGATTTTTAAGGTAAGGAATGACATCAAACTATGGTCTGCACAGAAGCGTAGTATTATTTTTATATCTGGTTATAAGTTGAGGTTTAAGATAACAGAATACAATTTTTACTAATTGTGACAAACATTTAAACCTTTTAATTGAAATACTTTTTTATTTCTCTCCTTTTCCAGACCCCATCGAAACTTGGACTCATATTATGTTGATGCCTGGCATATGGGTCTCAAAGGTGTCGATTGTCAATCGAATTATCCAAAAGCCACCAATTGCCTACTGGATAAATATACCCATGTTCGTGAGGAATATATGGGCTATACTACAGTAAAATAATGTACCTGTTATCGAGTTGTATTAATAAAAGCTACATAAAAGACTGTTTGTTTATAATGAAATTATTAAATATTATAGGAAAAAATATAAATTAAGGCTAAATAAATTCTTAAAATAAATACCTGCAATATACATTTATTATAATAGAGGATATGTATTAGACAATGGGATGGAATGTTATTAACTGTTTAAATTGTAACCGCCGTCAATATAGCATCATGTTACGGTTAATCACTGCGCCCGTTTTCAATCCTACTATTACAAATGAGTATATTTTTACGAAGTTGAAACTAAAATCCATAACATTGATTTAGTGGCGTCTACGGTTTTATTTTATTTCCAGAGTTGCGTCAAATAAAAATTAAAATCCAAATCTAAAGCGGTGTACACACTATCGTTTTTGAGTGACAGTTTCGATAACTTATCGGTTGTTACAGTTTTGTTGTGTTGTTTGTAGCGGTCATATTATCATTCATGCCTTTTTTCAAACCGACATTCAAATTTATAAATTGTGCTAATCAGACGCCGTATAAAAAAATATATTAATACAAAATGGATGATAAAAAATTGGATGTGAAATTTTAATAATAATAATCAAAAATAGGCTTTGAATTTTATTGGTATCTTAATGAAATCTCGGTCTCACAATTTTTTTTTTTTTTTCAAAATTGTCATTCGGATCATAAAACAAACAAATAGAATGGAAACGAGACGAGTAAAAATGTCCTAGGGTAGAGAAATGTGAAAGAATCTCCTTGCCTGTCTACTTTTTTGTTTTGGGATCACGATAAATGCCAGTGAAGAGTACAGCCTTGGCGGTATTATCATAGATCAGGAACATAAATAGATTAATACCTTCGAATTTGGTTGGTTCGGCGGGACGTGCTGAACGGAAACTGAAAACAACTGTGGCTGCTGCAGCAGTACTGCCCTCCTCATCAACCTTGATTTTGGCAACATGTTTGGCATCACCAAACATCAGGCTTGTTTCCGTGGAGAAGCCACTCAAGTGGGCGGGATGCTCGATGCCCAATTTGCGTAGAATCGGTACCAATTCCAAATTCTCCACGCTTATGCCTCATGGGTACGAAAGAATACTGGCTAGGGGTGGTATAAAAATCCCCTGGTTTTTATCTTTGGCATCGAATTTATCCGACCATTGAACCTTGAAATAGGCAGCATTAACCAAAACCATTTGACTGTCGGTGGTAACATCACAGGGATTTTACATTTCGGGGATTTCGTTGCGTGTTATATTGGCAATCCAGTTGTTGATTTCCATACGTCCCTCTTCGGCTTTGGTTCTGAAGTCCGATTCAAGTTCATCTTGGAAATTCTTCTTCATGCAGGCAGCCAAATTGATGGACTTATCGAAGTAGATACGATCGGCAGCGGTGAATTCCAAAAGCATTTTCTTCGTACGGCTGTAGCGCATTTATTTCTCCAGGCGATAGCCATTGTTGACATGTTTCTTGTTCTTGGCTAACTGCAGGCGTAGTCCCTGAACCAGCTCCTCAGTGTTGATATGCTCTCGGTTGGTTTCTCATAGCTCTGGAGAAACTTGCACGACTCAAACCACCAAATCTTCGCCTGGTAAATATTGTCCGCTCCAGAAGTTTCAGACTGCTTTATTTATTTTTTTTTTGAGTTCCCTTCTGTAGGACGAACGAATTGTGTTGATTTTCTTTTTCACGTCGTCCACAGTACAATTTTTTTATACTTTTTCAATTTATGTAGCAGTTCTCCATACGATTTCATTTTAATGTCGCGTGACATGTACTCTGGACTGGTTATGTCCCAGAGACATCGTTGCATTTCATAGCAACAGAGGAATTCTTTTAAAAATTCGTTTTCGGAGTCCATGTTATTGTTGAAATTTATTGTCTGACTGTCGTTTTTTATGTTCACATTATCGAACCAACAAGCATCCATCATCTGAATGTCACGCAACCGTAAATTTTTTTGTGGTTGCCTGATGACTGAGAGAAATTAACGGCTACACTGGCAAGCAAACCGATATTTCAGCAAGAGTGTCATTCAAAAATGATAGTGTGTACACCGCTTAATAAGGTCTAAGTGACAATCATATGGTTTTAAAATAAATGTGTCGATATTAAATTTCCAATTTTTAATTAACTAAACAATTAATTACGTTCATTTTTTTAATAATTAAAAATTAAGATCGCGGACCTCTAGAATTATTTTTTTCGATTTACAAGATCTAAAATTCTATTTTAGTATGGAATTCTTTGAAAAATATACAGTTTAAGTAGATACCTATACGATATCCTTAGCCGATATAAAACCTAATTAAGACAACATATCAAATTTAAAGAAAGTAAACTGTATATTCATACTTTTGTAATAGTAAAACTAGTAAAAGAGTTAAATCTCTAAATCGATCTGATAGTCCAGCAATACACTGAAAATTCGGGAATGGAACGCAGGTATAAAAGTGCAAACCATGATGCAATAATAAGGTGATGTATTAAAATAAAAACCTTTGTTTTTGTCTCGACCATCTGTTAAATTTTTCCATATAATATTTCACACTGTTGGCAACACTGCACATCGAATTCAAGTAGAAATTACCCACTTTGACAGTTAATCAAGACATCAGCTGCGCTAAATGGACTACCTCTGTATTGTGCCATGGTCTTGACCTTCTGTCAAATTTTTCCTAATAATATTTGACGTGGTTGGCAACATGATGGAATAATAAGGTGATGTAGCACAACATAAACCTTTGTTTTTGTCTCGACTATCTGTTAAAATTTTCCTTATAATAATTCACATGGTTGGCAACATTGCACATCGAATTCGTGTAGAAATTACACACTTTGACAGTTAATCGAGACATCAGCTGCGCTAAATGGACTACTTATTTATTGTTGCATGGTACTACCCATAATGCAATAATAAGGTGATGTATCAAAACAAAAACCTTTGCTTTTGTTTCGATTATCTGTCAATTTTTTCCATATAATATTTCAAATGGTTGGCACCACTGCACAACGAATTCAAGTACAAATTACGCACTTTGACAGTTAATCAAGACATCAGCTGCTCTAAATGGACTACCTATTTATAGTGCCATGAATAGAACCATAGTAGTAGCTGCAAGACAGGTATAGCTAAAAAATGTGATTCTCGAGTCAATGATGCACGATTGTTCGCTATAATAAATTCATATGAATATCTCTTACACACTGTAATTGAGAAGCTGTGAAAGTTCCTCTATCCCATATAAAGTGTGCGTAAATTGAAAACTTAAAACGCATTTTCTGCAAAATGTTTTTTTTTTTTAGTTATGCCTGTAGCAAATGAGCGATATGTATATCAAAATTCATCAGCCTAAAAGTAGGCAATAGTTATAGGCTTTAGTACAATTTAAAAAGGGTATTATAGATCGACTTTGATAAATTCATCTTCGGCTTGACATTTGCAGTTCAAAATATATTATTTTTCTAGGCTCCGATTTAAATACCTCATAATGTAATATAGTTAATTAAGTCAGTTTTTTTCTCTTTCGAGATGAACTTAATGATCGAAATGTTTGCAATAAATCAAAATTATTCCAGGTTTCCAGAGCAACACAAATGTTACCAAATAACATAGCTTTCTAAACTGTGTTGTCGTTTTGGACATTTCGCTTTATTAATACGTAAAAGTTTTAGAATGTGTAGAGAGTCAGAAGTTCAGAAAGTCGAGTCCATTGCATTGTACATTGATTGCCAAATCGATTATGGCAAACTATTGCTAATAAACCCGCCTTTGGGCGGTTTGCAGAAAATACATCGCTATGCAGATTCAAAGTCTCAAAATCTCAACTCCGTGGTCGTATGTTGAGCGCCTGAGTAAAAAAGTAAGCGCCAGAATATTTTTTTTAGAAAAAAGTGTAAAAAAATGAACTATATATATGATCAAAACAAAGTTCGAAGTCGGAATCACGTTAGAGCTCTCAATATTGAAAATAGATATTCCTACTACATCTAGAATGTTTGGTATTGGTTTTCGGTACATTGGTATTTTCGGCACGTAAATGTGCAATGTAATGGGTTGCAATTTGGTACAGTAAACCACGGATATAAGAACATCCAAAAAAATGTTTCCCAGTAACATAAACGAACGAACCTATTATGAAAGCAGTAAGAAATACGTAAACAAATAACAGCTGACGATCCTTGATATTATTTCCACGGTGTTAACTAAATCCTAAATCACGACACTGTGGTACAGGGGATTATGTCTTTGTGCATATGTTTGTAACAGGCAAAAGGAAACAAGATAGACACATGCTTCCTTTTGAGAATATGTCGATTTATGCATGTCCGCCCGTCCATGTATATTGTGAGCAAAGTACAGGTCGCATTTATGATCCGAATTGGATGAAATTTGGCACAGCACATTGGTTTGGCCCAAGGACAAACCCTATTGAAATTGGAGAAAATCGGTTCAGATTTAGATATAGCTCCCATATATATTTTCGTCCTATTTTAGGTAAATGGTGCACCAAAGTCCCTGAAAATCATTAGATTTGCACGAATTTTGGCATAGCGTACTAAATTAAGTCGACAATGAGGCGTGCTGAATTTCGGGAAAATCGGTTCAGATTTAGTTATAGCTCCCATATATAGATTCGCCCGATTTTAGGTAAATGGTGCACCAATGTCCCTGAAAATCTTTTGATTTGCACGAATTTTGGCATAGCGTACTCAATTAAGTCTAGAATGACGTGTGCTAAGTTTCGTTAAAATCTGTTCTGATTTAGATATAGCTCCCATATTTATTTTCATCCCATTTTATGTAAATGCAGCATCAAAGCCCCCTATATCTTTAGATTTTGATATAGTGTACTGAATCACACAAAGTGAAAATGGCTTCGATTTTAAGTAAATGGTATTCGTACTGAAGTTAATATAAATTAAATTAGCTTCCATATATGTTTGAAATGAAGTCTATAAATTTGTTTGAAATGAAGTCCGAGTGAGGGTACAACA